ATTCAAAACAAAATCATTGTGGAAAATATGCAATGAAAAAAAATATATATTTTCAAATACGTGCTTGAATATGTAAATGTGTGTGTGTGAAACTGGAGACATTCATGAAACAATACTGATTCTTGACTAAAATCAGATTAGCTCTGTCATAAATAACTTTTTTGAAAAAAAGAATTTATCTAAATAATAACTATGCCAATAGCATCTGACATGGTAAACCACTGAAAGCTTTAAAAAACACAATTTTCAAGAAGTTTTATTCTTAAAGTAGTAATGATATAAACTTTCAATTCTCATAAAAAACTGTTTCCTTCCAGGGCATAGCCCTAAGGCTTTATGTCAAAAGAGTAAGTTTTTGAGAATAATATGAATATACATAGTAATAATCCAAAAATCTGAGCTTAGAAAGTATTGGGACAGGGGGCTCTTGGGGAGTGGGAGAGAGAGGGGTTTCCAGAGCTACAGATCTGATAGCACAGTAAACTCAAGGCCTAAAAAGAAAACACTAATAAATCAATTTTGTAATTGGTTAACCACCGGGAGAAATAGGACACCCAGAACCAAAATCAATTACACCTAATGGCATTTAAAATCTGGGATCAACAAACTTAAAAAATAAAATAAAAATCTATGAGTACAGGAAAGTAAATCTAATCTTCTTTTAATTTCCTAACTACGTTTAAAGAAAATTACCCATGAAAACTGGTATGGAATTAGTCCTTCAAGCCTTATTACATAAAATTCAATTATGTCAGTTCTAAAATGATGTGATAATTTTTCTAGTATGTACTTTCAGTAAGATGAAACAAGAATGTAGCAAATTTGCCTATGAGATTAATTTCTCCATTTATTTTGTACCCACATAATATGTAGAAATAATTTAATGGTTAAGAAATAATCATTCCCTTGTACAGTTCAGACTATTATCGGCCATATGTAGCTTCCCACCTCATAAAACTCACATATATATTTACTAACAAAGAATTAAAATAGAACCAAATTCCATGAATATTTTAGATTTTATTAGATTACTTTAAAATTTGCCTATCCATTTAGTACATGGCTTTTAAGTAAGCTTATGATCCTAATAATTAGATTTTGCATTCTGTTGTAAATAGTTTGCTATAAAACCATTTAGAGCCTTCTCTAAGACAATATAAGGAAATGGAAAAATCATCATAAATGCCACCCTTTATACAATGGTATATACTCTACAGGAAGCTCTGGTAGTGTAGTGCCTAAGGCAGTTGACTGCTAACCAGAAAGCTGGCGGTTCAAACTCACCAGCCACTCGTTGGAAGGAAGGTTGGGGAATCTACTTACATAGTAATACTACCTCAGAAACCCAAGGAGGAGTCGCTATGAGTTGGGTCTGACTCTATGGCACATGACAACAACATATACTCTACAACTTATACCAAACCAAACCAAACACACTGCTGTCCAGTGGGATCTGACTCAGCGACTCCTCCTTGGGTTTCCCAGGCAGTATCACTACGGAAATGGATTGCCCAACCTTCCTTCCAAGGAGTGGCTGGTAGGTTTGAACCACCAGCTTTCTGGTTAGCAGTCAAATGCCTTAGGCACTAGGCGAACAGACTATAATAACATAAAAAATTCAAAGACTCACATCAGGTTATTTTCAGAGTCAGAAAGCTATGAATCTGACAAGGACCTAATTTTCAAATCACAGCCAATATTGTTGTTGTTAGTTGCCAGCGAGTCATCTCTGACTCATGGTGACTCCTGTATGACAAAATTAAATGTTACCTTCTCCTGCATCTTCTTCATGTTCATGATATGCTTGAGTCTATTCTTCAGCCATTGAGTACCTTTCAGACTAGGGAAGGAGCCATGGTGTCACAGTGGTTAAGTACTCAGCTGATAACTGAAAGGTTGGTGGTTCGAACTCACCAGCCACTCCATGGGAGAAAGATGTGGTTTCCATAAGGATTATAGTCTTAGAAACCCTATGGGGCAAGTCATTATAAGTTACAATCAACTCAACCACAATGGATTTGGTTTTTCTGGTTTTTTGTTTGTTTGTTTGTTAACCAGTTTAAACCAGGGGCCTCACCTTCCAGCAATATGTCAGATAATATTCTATTGTTATATATCCAATTTCCACTGGATAATTTTAAGAAACAGATTCAGGCATTTCTCCCTAGCTTGTCTTAGTGTGGAAGCTCCTCTGAAGCCAGTCCACCATGGATGACCCTGCTGCTATTTGAAGTATCAGTGGAACAGGTTCCAGAATCACAGCAACACACAAGCCACCACGGTATGACAAACTGACGAAGAGAGGTAGACAAACTGCTTTAAATGTTAACTATTTAACATACACAATAAAAGGTACATTTGGAAACTTTTCTAGGGAAAAAATTGTAAGTAACAAAGGTCATTTAAAACATCAATATGAAGAAAACAGATATACTCAAAGCATAAGTAATTCATTTTCCCAACTCCAACTCCACTAACCTACTTAGTAGATGTGTCTATCGTCGCTGTCTGTCTTCTCTCTGGTAATAGAAGAGTGCCCCTGCCTCTATCAAAGACAAACTCTTTCATGGTGCTCTAGACACCATCTTCTTTTTAAGGACTTCTCTCCATCAATTACTTTCTGAATCATCAATGCTTCCCTCTACTGGATCATTCTCATTAAGATAAAACATAGCTTAATATTATCCATCTTAAAAGAAACAAAACAAAACTCCCTTCACTCCAGGCTCTGCACCAACTTTCACTGGATACTGCACCTAACTGCAAAAAATCCCCAAAACACTTGTTACCCCTTATCTTCACTAATTCAACTTTGTTTTCTTAAACTACCCCAATCTGATGTTTGTACACACCCTTTGGTTCTATTATAATAGCCTTCACCAAAGTAACCAATGACACTTATTTAACCAAAACAATGGCAAACTTTTTATCATCTTACCTGATCTCTCAGCAGCATCTGACAGGATGAGTATTCTTTCCTTGTGGCATGTTCTCTCCATATTTGTAGCATTGGTCTCACCTGATTTTTCTCCTACCTTCCCTTGCTTCTCAGGATCTTTTGCTAGCTCCTCCACACTTCCAGATCTCTAAGTGTTGGACTATACCAACAATGTTTTAGGACTTCATTCTATTTACCCATACTCTCTGCCTTGTAAACTCTCTTGCAAGTGCATGACTTTAAATACCATTTACATGTTAACTTTCAGATTTATGTTTCCTACCCAGACTTCTCCCCTGAGATCCAATATTAAAGAAGGTATTTTTTGTTTGGTTTATATCATTGGGGTTAAAAATGTGGACTTAGTGTCTCTAAAGCTACTTGTGCTTGCTGATTCTGTTGTTTCACCACTGACTCAGTTTTGTAATCCAACAGAGTAAGGTTTCCACTAATATGCCACTAAATTTGTTCTTGTCAAATATTAAATACAAAAAAAAAGTTTACCTGTTCCAAATATAATGGAGGCTTTTTTCAGCCTCTGTCTTAAAAATCAGATGTTTCAACTTTTTTGTCATTATTTATAAGGCCCTCCAGAATCCAGTCTCTGCTCAACATTCCAGTCAATGACCTATACTATATTTAACCTTACTGAACACATTTAACTCAAATCTGTTAGACCTCTACAACTATTCATATGCTCTTCCAAGTGCCCAGAATCTTTTAACCCTATTTCTAATCTCACTCAGCCTACTTCCTCCAAGAAACTTTCCCTGATGACAAGCCCAGGTTAATCGTATTCAATCACCTAATCAAGGTGATGGGGCCCTGGTAGTGTAGTGCCTAAGGCACTTGACTCCTAACTAGAAGGCTGGTGGTTCAAACCCACCAGCCACTCCTCAGAAGGAAGTTTGGGCAATCTACTTCTGTAGTGATACTGCCTCACAAACCCAAGAAGGGGTTACTATTAGTCAGGTCCGACTCAACGGCATATAACAACAATAATCAAAGTGATAGAGTCATCTTTTTTTTTTTTTTTTAATCTCTGAGTAGGTCAGGATTATTTTGGCTGCACATGAAATTCTCAATGGATCTTACAGTGAGGAAAATTCCAACCGCTTTATTGAGAAAATATTGGTAAAATAGACCTGCCCTAAATGCTTCATCATACTACTTCTGACTATTGTTCTGTAAGTTAGCCACTTGTTACAATTTCAGGATAAGTATTTGTCTTCTTCATTGACTTTGACTTGGAACATTTAAAGACTTACAGAAGACTGATATCACCAAATATAATATTAAAAAAACAGTAGAAGTATTTATTCAAAATAATATTAGCAATCTTGATATATTTGATCTAGCCTGCATTTTAATAAGGGAGCTCTGTTATCATAATGCCTAAGGAACTTGACTGCTAACCAGAAAGCTGAAGGTTCAAACCCACCAGCTACTCCTTGGAAGGAAGGTTAGGCAATCTACTTCCGTAGTGATACCGCCTCGGAAACCCAAGGAGGGGTTGCTATGAGTCGGGTCTGACTTGACGGCACATAACAACAACGACACATTTTAATAATGTGTTCTCCTTTGATAATTTTAATGAATATGTTCTCCTTTGATAATTCAAAATCATATCTATCATGTAGTATCTATATGTCTTCTTTGGTACAACTATAAGGTAGATCTATTAGTCAATATCTTCTAGGTATAGCATAAAAAATCAGGTAGATAGGGGACAAAACTGAAGGTGTGCGTGCTAGGAGGGATAAAAAGAAGCAAGAAGTTTCAATCTAGAACTCACACAAAGAGACAACAATCAGTCTGCCAATTACATGCATTTTCTTTATAATAGATGTGTAGAATCCTAATTGTTTTTAACCATGTATCCACTTTTACAGATGTAAATGAGAATACAAACGATTTGTCACATACATTCATATAATACATAAATCATAAAGAGTTCTTTTTTATATCCCTCATGAATTACTTTTCAGGGAGGAAAAGTATGTTATTATTACTAACTACGTATGCTGTATGCATTTATAGATATTGGTTGAAATGTACTCACACTTAGTTTTCCATTCCGATTGTCTTCTTCTCTTGCTGCCAGGGCCTTCAGAAAATTGTCTTGCAGGTTTTTACCAGCACTTGTTAGTGTCCTGTGGAAAACAGGTATTTATCTATAATATATTCAATAACAAATACGTTTAAAACAATCTGGACCAACCAACATATTTATTTATTCCAAGTGACAATATCTTTATGACATGAAAGCCTTATACACACTATCATCATAATCTACAAGATTCCTCAATTTGATATAGCTGTTATTTGTTTTTGTCAGGTGCTGTCAAGTTCATTCCAACTCAAGGAGTCCCTGGGTGTTTCAAATGGTTATGCACCATAAGGTTGGAGGTTCAAACCCATTCAAGATGCCTTGAAAGGAAGGCCTGTTGATGTGTTTCTGAAAGGTCCTAACATTAAAAATCCTATGGAATGCAGATCTATTCTGCACCTTTGGTGTTGTCATGAATATGGCTATAGAGTCTTTATTTACATAAATTGCAATCAAGTCTATAAATAATACATACATCCACATCAACATTTATGCCAGATACAGTTAATTTCATTCACATCCCTATTTTATTCTTTTTATCACACTAAGAAAATTCAACATATTTATATTGCTTGTTTGAAAAATACTTTTAAAGTACAATGAGAGGAATGTAAGATAATTAAAATACTAGAAGATTAAGCCAATGTAGATACTGGAATAGAACATTGACTTTAGTTGTAAGACAAGAGATAATAAAGGTAAGAAAGGAAACTACATTGAGTTATCTTTGTCAGATAAAAGGAAGCACTGAAAATCAAGAAAAAAAAGTGACTTTCTCTGGAAATAGATGTTAAGCGAAATTTATCACAAAGATCCCAATCAAGCACCATTGAACTACATAATAGAGAGTTCAGGAGAGACTGCTGAAATAATAATCTTTCTTCATATGGAAAATTCCTATATATTCAATAAACTGTTCATCATATTTCTACTATGTACCAGGAAATATATATTAGGGGTCAAAAATGAATAAGACATAGTTTCTGATCTTAAACTGCATGTGGTCTGATACAAGTGAACAGATACATAAATATTATAATGACATACTATCTATAGTGGAATGAATAGTGTCCTCCTAAAAGACACATCCTTTCAAAAGCTCAGAATGTGACTTTTTCTGGAATAAGATTCTTTGCAGATGGAATTAAGATCTTAAGATGACATCATGAGATCATCCTGGTTTAGGGTGGTCACTAAGTCCAGTGATGGTATCCTTATAAAAGACAGACTAGAAAAGTAGAGGACACAAGTGGGAAAGTCATGTAAAAACAGAGTCAGAGATTGGATTGATGTATCTATTCCACGAATTGCCAGCAACCATGAGAAGTTTGAAGAGAGTCATGGAATGGATCCTCCCTAGGAGCTTCTCAAAGGAACCAAACTTTCCGACGCATTGATTTTGAACTTACAGCCTCCAGAACTGTGAAAGAATAAATTGCTGTTGTTTCAAGCCAACAAATCATTGAAATATGTACAGCTGTCTTAAGGAGCTCTAGTGGCATAGTGCCTAAGGCACTTGACTGCTAACCAGAAGGCTGGCGATTCAAACCCACCAGCCACTCCTTGGAAGGAAGATTGGGCAATCTACTTCTGTAGTGATACCACCTGGGAAACTCAAGGAGAGGGGTCTCTATGAGTCTGATCCAACTTGACGGCAGTGTCTTAGGAAACCAATATATGGTATAATAGCTATAATAACAAAGATATGGCCAGAGTATCCAAGGAGTTCATATGAGGAATAACCTACATATTTAATGAAAACTTACTACATTTTAAACATAAAAGCAATTGTTCTTGAACTAAGTGTTAAATTATGAGGCTACATTACCCAGTTAGGAAGATGAAAAAGAAAGGAATCAGTAAGCACAAAAGAATAAAATAATAGAGATGAAGAACTGCAAGTGCCTTTGGTAATTACAAAGTAACAAAAAAAATAAATGCAGAAAGTAAGGGAGAAGCCATATAACATTAATAAAATAACACTTTTACAGACCTACTATTCTAAATACTAAGTATGACCACTCAGCTAGTAGGAGTGGGAACTGGGTTCAAACTGAGGCACAAATCTCAACCCCAAAATAGAAACTTGCCCCACATTGGTAACAGAACCTGATTTTTATTTGAGCAATAGTCCTTCCCATATTCTATGCTTTGCAAAGAGAGTGAATCAAGGCACTTACTTAAAACTCTTACTCTTCGAATCTCAGCTAATGATGTGCTTCAAGCTTGACCAATGTCAATTTACTTCATGAGAAGTATGTCATGAACATGGTGACACAATGATGAAAGACATGTGGGATTTTAGTCATTGTCTTAATTCATACTACACTGCCTTGTCATTGAAAGTTTTCTAGAGTCTGTTATAATCTGTGTTCTTCCAATAAATTCAATTTTTAAATTAAGTTCATCAGAATTGGTTTCTATTGCTCACAACCAAAACCTATAACTGATACCATGGTAGTCCAGTTAAGGTATCAGAGCTCCTAAGGCTCTCCAAGTGGTAAATTCTCTCCCTAACTCACCCTATATCTTGTTGCTGTTTTTTAAAAATCTTATAACATTACAAAAAATTAAAGTCAAATTTGGTCACAACCCTCAGTTCCACAATACCAAGTGTCCACAATACACATGCATCCTTCGAGAATATGTTTTATATGTTTTTATCCCCATAAAAAACAGTTATCATTTGGTGATGTGTTCATTTTATTATACATTTTGCAACTTATTATTTTATTGCTGTTGTTATTGTTTGTGGGAATGGATGTTTATGAGAATGCCAAGGATATCCGAATTATCCTCAGGTATACCAGTACACCAGACATAAAAGTTCAAAAAATTAGATTGTTTCTAGGTAATGTTCAATAATAGGGAAGAGACTCCTAATATCTTACCTAGCTAGTCCAGCTTTCCTGCCAGTGGGTGAGGGTTTCAGCAGATGACAGGACTGGACAAGGAAAGGGAGTGATGAGCAGTAGAATTCTTGCTGCCCCTGGACACGTCCTATGGCAGACAATGTTCTCCCTTCTTCCATAAAAATGAAAGCCTCAATATTTACCTGAATATATAACTTACCAGAATAAAGACTGCCTTTCTTAGCCCCTCTTGCAGCTGTGCATGTGTATGTGACTAATTTTTCACAATGGGATCCAAGTGAAAATAATTTGCAACTTCTAGAAAAGTCTTTAAATTGAGGAAGAGTACTTTTTCCTGTAGCTGAAATGTAATATAATGACTGCACCTCCAATTGCCATCTTAAATGGGAAGCCACTATTATGGAGAAACAAGAAGGAAGAAGCAGGGCCTCTGATATCCTAGGGCACCCAACTGACATTGATTGACATGCTCTGGACTTCTTGAATATGAAACTGGAAATAATTGCTATTTTATTTCAGCCACATTCACTTTCGATTTTGATATTATTTTCAACCAAATCTAATCCAAATAGACACATTTTCATATGAAATTTACCCACTGTTCTAAAAAAGACAGTGTTGCAGGATTGATTTAGTGATCAAATTAAATTTTAACCTTATCTGTAATATTCTAAGGATTTATCAGGAGACTGTATTTTTTTAAAAAAGCAGCCAGAAAGTTAATCTTTTAAAAGGAAGCATGAGGTTATGGAAATTAAACTGAAATATAAGATGGGAGGATAAGTTCTTAATTCCCACTCAAATATCAACTGATTAGAATCTGGGTCTCATGGTGGGTTAAATGATTTCTAAGTGCCCTAGCAGTTATTAAACTTGCAATTTAAAATGATCATATTGTATCATCAGCCAGAAAATATCATTCAATTTATAATAAGTCTAAGAAATGTGACTATTACTGACATACACTGAGATCATACTATTCTTTTTTATTATTATTCACATCTTACATGCCCCAAAACCCACTGCCATCAAGTCGATTTCAACTCATAGTGACCCTATATATAGGACAGAGTAGAACTGTCCCACAGTGTTTCCAAGGCTGTAAATCTTTACAGAAGCAGATGTCTCATCTTTCTCCCACAGAGTGTCTATTGGGTTCTAACTGCTGACTTTTTGGTCAGCAGCTGAATGAATTAACAACTACACCAGCAGAGCTCCTGAAGTCTAACATATATACAGTTAAATTATTTCCTATAACTTCTATAAGGGAGATAAAAGTATTTTTATTACACAGATTGGGAACAGAGAGGAAAAGAGTTTATGGCTTCCAATATATTTGCAGCAGAAAAAATAAAAGTTACATGAATAATTATTCTTACATCGTGCTATATCTGAGAACCTGCAACTTTTCAGCAAGAGGAAATTCTGGAAAAGAAGGAAAGTTATTGCAGAATGTGTGGTACGAAATTCTTAAATCTTTAACATGCATTACTCTTATTTAACAAGGTTTATTTAACAGCCAGTGACCTGAGAAACCTTGCTTAAATAAATATTAAAAAGGAATTACTTCCTCAAGAACTGAAGTAGATCTGTTACAAAATCCTAAAGTTACAACTTTTATATAGGCAAATACTCCATCTTTGTTGTTTATAATCTGTTATACTCTTAAAAGGGGGGGGGTGAAAAAAGTTATATGGATAAGTTAATTTTTACTAACCATGTTTAAGCATTAGTTAAAAGCATTTATATAACCCTACATAAATGGCTCTAAATATATTCTCAATCCTCAGCCATTAAGCTACCAGTTTTATGATTTAATTATGTTGTGTGTGGATCACATATTTTCACATTATTAGATTAGCACTCCAAGAACAAATTATACAAGGGAAAAAATTGGAAAACTGCTAAAACAGAAAATTCTTTTGAAGTTTGTAAGTGGTCTGTTATAAAATTTTCTCTATTTTAAGAGTCCATTTATTTTAAAGATTATAAATCTTTTCTGTAAATATTTAAGATTTATTAATTATCTTAAATATGCAAATGTAAAA